CGTATCTTAAAGTTGCCAAGGTTGAGAAACGCAGCTTCAGTGCAAGTGACACCCCCTTTGTTTTGAAAAGAAAAACTGGCCAGCCAGGAAACTGACTCCCCCCCCACTGCATGTTTAATAACACCCCCCTTTTTGTGCTTTGAGTAGCCTCACGCCAACGGCCAAAGAAAGCTGGCCACGCGGTTTTGCAAACAGATCGCTGCTTTTCTACATTTCCCAGGCAGGATCGGAATCCTGGCCAGGAAAAGGTAGGCAAACCTCAAACAGCCTTACGCTCAGCCGAGATACGAACCTTTTCAGCTCAGGAGCGTCCAGAGGGCTTTGGGATACCTCTCTGCCCCACGAGCCGCCGCCACCTTTCTCCGTGGGCTTGAATATCCTCACCCGCTCCCGGTTTCTCAGGGCCCGGTACAGGGTGGCTTGACTGACGGGGCTGCAGGCGCCACCACGGCCTAATTCACCCGCGTTCCCCGGACTGGCGGGCACGGAGGGGCTTTGCCCAAGTGCAATTCTAGCAGAGTCTACAGATGCGCCCGCACGATCCCCACCGGATTTGTCAAAGAGCCCCAGCGCGGGGCCGTCTGAGGGCGCTGCACAGGACTTCAGGTCAAGCCAACGTTCGTGTCTCGGCAACGGCGCAAGGACGCCCAACTCCAGGGCTGAAGCCGATTCCCTGGATTCAGACTTCCGGGGACTCTCCGGCCACGCGGCCAGCCGGTTCTCTGCCTCCCCGGCGCTCCCGGGGCTGCTCAGGTTCAGCACTTCCCTACGGAGACATCTGGGGTGGTGCAACGGCCCTTCCAGAACGTGCGGCACGGTGGGCAGCCGCCTCTCCCGCTGCCTGCTCTGGACGCGGTCGGGGAGGCGGATGGCCTGGCGGTGTATCTTCGGACTGACTTCGCCGCAGAACGAGTCTCGGTCGCTGCTGCTCTCGAGATCTGACAAAACCATTCCTTGGCTAGAAACAGCACAAGAAGGAGGCAGGGTCGTCAAGGCTGCCCTTAAAGGGTAACTATGGACTCTGGAGTCCTTGGTCCTCTCAGAGCTTGTGGACATTTCGTGACCCGACTGGGGAACATCGTCAGGGCTGGTGAGTGTGGGGTTTCTCCCTGCTTATACGCAGTCACTTGCTGTAGGGCCAGGACTCCACAGTTCAGCCCCGAGCTACCTCTATTCTCTTCTGCTGTGATCTATACTGTCATCCTGGGGTTGGAAGGGGACGCTTTGGGCGGTCACATCCCAACCTCCTGCAGAGCAGAGAAATGGACTTTAAGGATCCCTATTTGGTTCCTGCCTGAGCATCTCCGAGAAAAGGAAGACCTCCACCTCGCCAGAGAACAGGTTCCACTGTCAAATCGCTTTCGCTTTTAGAAGTTTTTCCTAACATTCAGCCAGAATCCTCCTTCCTATAACAAGACTGTGATTGCGTGTTCTACGCACTGAGACAACCGGGAAGGGTGTGAAGTGGGCCAACACCCCCCCGTCGCCCCAGAGGGTCTTCTAGATCCCTGTAGCTTTTCTCCAAATCTTTAGCACTTCTAAACGAATCAGTTGTACGGAGGGGAAGATCTCACCCCATAGATCCCCCCCTGCTGACAGCCACACTATTATTGGTGCATCAGATTTATATCCCGCCCCGATCCTAAAAGATGCTCGGTGGCTCCCCATAACAAAGCAAACACAATAACCAAAGAAACGCAGCTTTTAAGTGCACCGTCAGAGTTTTTCTCTTTTGGTAACGTTTTGTATTGTTTTCATGTTTTATGTGATTTTGGATATATTTATTGTTTTAACGGATTTTGTGAAGCACCCAGAGTCCCCCATTAGGGGGAGATGGGTGGAGATAAACCAGATAGATAGATAGATAGATAGATAGATAGATAGATAGATAGATAGATAGATAGATAGATAGATAGATAGATAAAATTTTGCAAAAGCCAAAGCAATATGTGGCCACCAGATCGCAAAAGCTTTTTTCAACTTTTTTCGGATCATGTTGGGGACAGGTGGATCTCCAGTGGGAAGTCACTCCAGAGGGCCACGGAAAAGCAGCGCTTCTGAGTTTTGGTCCCCCTCTCGTCCTGCAAACGGGGGATAGCCAGCTATTTCTCCCCACATGATCAAAGTGGCTGTGTTCCCTTGGGGGGAGATACGGTCCTGTAGGTAACCCAGCACCAAACTAAAAAGGGAATAATGTTTGCAGTTCAGCCTTCTAGGGAGCTGATGTTCTACATTTTAAATATGGAGAGCAAAATTAGTCTCATGGACGTTTTTGACGGTGCTCTAGTATCTAAGCCTCTGATCTCTCTTGCCTCTCTTAGCCAGCTCTCAAGCATCAGATGATAATTAATATTCTGAATTATTTTTCTCCAGCCTGGCTGCGGACTTGCAGGAACCTCCTTTAAAACAATTCCCACTACCCCCGTCAGCAAAGCTGCGTACCTTCCATCCTGCAACTCTGTCTTGTGCTTCTGTATATTTTCTTGGGAACTTTCCAAGCTGAAATGCAGAAACTGCAGATCCTGTTGCTGTTTCATACAGATCTGGCAGCAGAGGACAGAACAACCAATCACCCTTGGGAACGCAGAAATTTTACTTCTGGGACATCTTGCCCAGAGACTTCCAAGGATGAAAAATGAATTGAAAAAAGAATGTTATTTATATCCTCCAGAAAAAGTTTCTGGGAAAAGTAGTGGCTCATTTTCATTTCATTTCATTTTTCATTAATGTCTTATGTCGAGATGCACCCTTCTTCCAGTGAATTCTGGAACCTGTTTCTGAGGCCGTTCCCCATTGACAAATGTTTTGATTTCTCCTATTAGCCTTATTCTTACGGTCAGGCCAGGCTAAGAGAGGGGGACCGGTCCACCACCACAGCTGAAGGACACCCACCGTCTGGCAACCTAACTTAAGTGTGGGGGACCGTCTCACAAGGAATTCCCCATTGCGGAGACTCCTAGGCAAGGTGACATTATTATTTCGACCCACAATAGGGTTTTAATCGCTCTCCTTTCCCAACTCAAGCAAGTTCCCTTCATCCATTTCATCGACGGAAGACAGAACAGTGGAGGACCTGAAAGACCGTTGGGGCCAGGAGGCGTTGCCGGGGGAAGGATGCAAATATCAGAACTGGAGATGTTGGAAAACCAAACTGTACTTATAACTGCTGCAAAGAATATCGGAAGCGCTGCTTTGCACCTTTTTCCTTTCTATTTTCCTTTAACTTTTTTTCCTTCCTTGCACTTCGTGCTTTCTCTTTCATTTCTTTTTCTTCTTTACTTTATACTAGTTCGTATTCGCTTTTCTCTTCTTTTTTTAAAAGTTGTCATAAAAATTATATATTTATCAAAAACAACAACAACAACAACTAAGGTGTTGGGAAGATGCTCCTGACCGCCAAGGTGGCTGCAACACCACCACTCCCTTGCTGATTTTCCCCAAGGTACCTAATAATCCACAAGGGTCTGTAGATACCCATACCCACATTTAGGTAAAAACAAGCTACAGGAATCTATTTGCTTGCAGAGGCTTCGCCCCCCCACCCACCCACAGCATTCTTTCTTTTACTTAATTAAGCTGTTTCCAGACGGAACACCCCCCCAGGATCAAACCCCGGTTCTTCAAACAAGTTCAGCACGATTTGCAAGCAGCCCGCTTTGCCCTTGCAGTTTCCTTCTGCTCCACGTTGCACAAGAAAAGGCCCCAACAGCCAGAAATGGGAGTCAAACCTGTCGCAGGTTGTTCAGTTCCGTGTCAGTCCGAAGCTGTTTGGATTTAGTGGAGAGAAGCAGCTGGTCTTTCGTGTTCGCCATCTGGGCTGTTGGAAAGGAAGGCAAGGCGTGGAGAAGTCGTTTGTTTTCCAGAAGCCAGAAGGAAATGGCGGAACAATAAATAAGCATCATTCTTACATCCCCTAGTTGCTTTAAAAGACATTCTCTTAGAGGGGTTCAGACCAATATATATATTTTTTTTCCTTTCCTCTGCACAGCATCGGGAAAGGAAGAAAACAGAATGACTTTCTCCAGCTGTGAAACAGCTGAATTGTGCCTGAGTAAGTTTGACTCAAGGTTTTGTCAAATAGGTGACGTTAAAATTAAAAAAAAAAAGTAGAACAATTCAGTGAGTTTTTCCCTGTCTTCGGGCAACACCGTTAATCAGATCACTCAAAGACCAAATGGATGCATTCGCCGTCAATAACCCTAATTATTGGGTTACATAATTCAGGGCTTACCAACCCTTAGGTGTTACTGACCAGTAAACATTAATTGATTAGGGTTACAGTAAACTCAGCTTGATTAGGGTTACTTTGGTTGAGTTTTTGTGACTGAACATGTGAGAGAGCTCTTAATTTTATTTATTTCCACCACTGACATTTCTGGGTCCACTCCAAACAGCTCAGAGAGGCGTACAACAAAAAGAAGGATTATTTTGAACCAACAGAAAACAAGGAAAACCATAAGGGTGCAATACATCAGGGGCAATTAATTCAGGGCTTACCAACCCTTAAGTGTTACTGACCAGTAAACATTAATTGATTACGTAAAGAAGTACTTTCTTGCTTGAGCTGCATAATTACTTCCCTCTGTGCACTGTTTTCTTTTGTTTTTTCATTGAGATCCCCTTTAAAAAAAAGAAACAGCAAACCCCCTGAATGATCACTTCATATTTTCTCAAACAATCACCAATAAATCTGCAATAAACAATCATACGTCATAAACCAAGTGTTCAAACAGAATGTTCTCCACTGCAATACCAGATGGGAATTGTTTCATCTGAACAATCCGAATACATCTTTATTATTAAAATTACAACATTTGCAGGCTTATTATTTTAACCTTCTACCATTACCATTATATAAAAACAGCCCTCCATATATTAAGAACTTCTGTTAAGACTATGCTCTGGATAGGGTATTAAATTCTGGGTCTTTTCTATGATCCACATACGATGGAGAGTCTTCACAAGCATATTGCCAAACACTCTTTCACATCTGCAAAAGCGACTATTGTGTCTTGGGTAATCTAAAACTTTTGTTTAGATTCATCACCTAAAAATAATCAAGCTGATTAACTTCCCGTTTCGCTGCATTTCAAATTTAAGCTCCTGCGTGCCACACTCTAAATATAATTTACCTTTTAGTTGGTTTGCTTCCAACATAACTTCCTTTAGCCTGAGTTTAAAATTCTGCTTCTCCTTGTTGATACTCGATTCTTCTAGCTTGGCTGCATGCAAGGCACTTTCTAGCTTTTTAAATTTACTGGTAACCTCAGCAATACGTTTGGCTGCTTCAAGTATTTCATTATCCTTCCGAAACAAAACAAGAAGCCGTGCGGGGCATTACTTTGCCTAAAAGCAAGGATCTTATCTGAAAAAGCAGTTCATTAGTTAAGTGCTTAATAGCGTTCATTCTGACCTCTGAAATGACCTCATGCTCCTTTTATTGGAGTTGCATCTTGTACTTTGATCAGCCGCCCCAAAGTTTCTGAATTATCTGCAACGATCCTGTTATTTCTCCCCACCGCCCCACCCAGCATTTTTTAAATTAAAACCACAGAATAAATCGCTCCTTTAGGAAAGTCATCAGGAGGAGGAGGCGGCGGCGCGCGGGCCAGTAAAATGAATGTGAAAATAATGCATTCCAAAAGAAAAAGAAGGGGGAAAATTCCCAGGGATGAATAAAACCACAGCCATCCTTTCTTTGAAGGTTACAGCTTGTAAAACAGATCGAAAAAGGAGAAAGTTAAGGTATTTTTGCCTCCCTCTGAGCAAGGGCGGTGAGCTGGTGTAGACATTGTGGTGTAGACATTGCAAGAGGAGAGGCCTGTGGATTTACGGTTTCCCAAAATCAGAAGGGGTTTGGAGCCCCTTTTCAGAGTCATCTGTTTGATTAAAAGGCACCCGCTGATGCCAGTTCAGTAATAAAATTTGCAGCCTGTGCCTTTTAAGAAGATCTGCAGCTTCCTAAAAGTGGGTGCCTTTTAATGAAACCTGTTAGATGGGAAAGGGGCTACCGGATTCCTGAGTTCTGGAAACGGTCCAGTGTGAATCCAAGGCTGTTCCGCTCAATCCTTTGAAGGGGAGCGCCAGTTTCAATTCTATCCAGGTGGCCGGAGAACTGAACCCTTTTCCTTCTCCTTCCTCCTCCCCAACCATTTTTTCTCACCTTGCTTGACCCCTTATGGCAGGGTTTCTCAACCTCAGCGGCTTTCAGATGTGGGGACTTCTGGGGAGGCTGGCTGGGGAATTCTGGGAGTTGAAGTCCCCACATCTGAAAGCCGCTGAGGTTGAGAAACCTGCCGTATGGACAGGAGGTAAAGCAGGAGAGAAAAATGTCACGTCGTG